TCATTCTATATATATAAATAACAATTCATTCTTTCAGAAAGTAATTCCTCGGCTAAACTATTGATTGAACTTTTCGTTTAAGATTTTAAAAGAATTCTTCTTAAGCTTAATTTTTACACCACAGGATGTCATAGAGTTTTTACCTGCCTTTGCGTCCGCAATGTACAAAAATGCTAAGAATAATATTCTAAGAATACCTTGAATCGGTTAATTCTTTCCTTTTTTGCTGTTCTTCTACCATAAATCTTCCCAGAATGACAAAGCAACTAAGAATAAAATGAAACAATATATTTTCATTCTTCATACATGACTAAAATAACAAAATAATAAAAAAAAAGGATCTAAATTTCACATTACAAAGGTTTTATTGTAATGAGAATATCTAAAAAAATTTTAACAGATGCTGAAGCATAATAATAAAGTTATTTACTTAAAATAACAAAGCGTATTTCCGTTAAATCCGTTAAATACATTCTGTATTTAACAAAGATCTTATAGGACAACACAGATCTTATAGGATAATTAAATTTTTGAACAGTTCTTTTCCAATTTTCTGTTACTTTTATATCCTACGCTATTGACATCTTGATGAAAGGTTTTATTGAAGTATGCAGACTGTTTCGTGCGACGACCATGTTCGAATTTCAAGATGATATTTCAAGATCGGTCAATTCCCGCGCGGCCTTTCTCAGGTCAAACTAAGCGCAGCAATTTCCATAATTAATATGGACATTTTACTGACTCGATTCTCGAGTCCAATGTATGAATAGTATCGATTATACATTAACCATCGCGTCGCGTCCAAAAAAAATCTCTATTGAATTATTGTAATTGAAATAGTGATCAATATAGTTTTTCTAAATATTAATTTCCAATAATCTATATGATAATTTAATATACGATTTCCGAGCCAAATATGGCATTTTTGTCATCTGTCGAAACCGAATCTGAGAAATTTATTATTTTCGTAAGTACATCGTTAGCTTAATTGATTTTTCTGCATGTCACAGGAAATATTAGACAGATGGCAATTCAAGCTATTTAAAGCGTTACAAATCGAATTATTCTCGAATTATAATGGTAACTAACACATCAAAATTTTCTTTAAACGAGCATTCAGCTATACGATCTATTCCCTTGCAATATTGATTTTATTCCGTTTCGAAATACTTCGTTCAAATAATTCAAGATGATCAATCATTATAATATTTCAGGTCAATTCTAAAGACTGAATTCCGATGGAATCACTGTTTTACCAATTTACACGTATTTACGATTTATGTAACATCGACACTTCACTACTACATTAATATCGCACGCACACATACACGCAAATTTTTTAAGGCATTAATCTTTCGTATTAGATATCTAAGCTTAATTCTAAGAATTCAACATTGTATAATCGACAGTTCAAACCGTTTCTATTTTGTACAAATATACTGTATTTTTACAAAGCAAATATTGGCACAAGTTGATAACTCTGGATGCCATATTGGATTAATAATAAGAACAGGTAAGTAGATCTAAATTTAAAAAATTTTTTTTCGTTTTCGGCATATATAGTTGACCGATTTGGACTGCATTATTACTATTTTAATTGTGGAAAAGGATTTTTAAATCCATGTATGTGAGGTAAAGGTAAATTAGAAAAATAGTCTCAAAAAGCAATTGCATTCTGTTAAAACAGACGGCTTTAGGATCCTCTTAAATATTCCTTTAGATTTTTTCGTCTTAATTTATAGATTTTCATTTTTCATATTTTTCTTTTTTTTTATAAAAAACATTTATTACAAAAAGTGGTATGGTATAATTTATAACGAACTTAAAACTAAAAGATGAGCAAGTGATAATATGTAAAGTCTCTATGTAATTTAGGTTTGAAGACCACGTAGGGCATCTTGTAACTTTTTTCTTGCGACAGCCACTCTGTCTTCTTGTCTCCTTATATCTTCATCCACTATCGAGACAGCCTTAAATAGAACAGTTATAATTAATTAACTAATAATATAAATATTAACTAAATATTAAAATCCATGTCATTAATTAATTATTTTGATATTATTTGATCATGCATGATTTACGCCAATTAAGACGTTCGGCTATCGATTCTACCTGTACAAGTGGTTGATCAGGATTAAGAAATACCCCGGGATTCTTCTCTAAAGCCGTCTTTGATCCCGTTTGTCCTGTGACTGGTTGAGTAGATACGTGTAATGCAGTGGCCACGCTTTGGAGCAATGTTTCTTCTGTGATATATGGTCCTACTGGTTTCAAGTTCTTTGGCAGATCCATTCCATCAAATTCATAACCGTCGGGATCACATGCCCGTAGTCCTTCCAAACGTTTTTCCCAGAAAAGCTGGAAGATTAAAATTTTAATTAACATCTATTGATCATTTTACTCATCACATATTCTACTAAGAAAAATAATAATACAAGCTACAAAATGTTTCATTACATGAAAATTGTATTAAATTGAATCATTGCTTTGAACTTATATAAATTTCTATTAAGTACCACCACCAACCACCACCAATTAACTTAGAATCCTATTTAAATCAGGATGGCGAAACTATAAGATACTTTTCTCCAATTTAAATATTAAAACTATTGGCTTTCAATTATTATTAAAATTTAGTAGTTAATTACATTTGCTATTGAAAATGTAACAGAAAAAGCAAAAAATTATTGAGACGATTTCATGATTGCATGTTCAGAGTTACCTGCTTAGGCTTATCTTGGGAGCCATACTTGCCATCAGTTTTATCGGCTCCTTCCTAAAGCAACGATTTGACAGTTGTGAATTTACAAGGATAGCTAACGAAGAGCAGTACAAGTGAATGGGTGTAAGCAGACAAAGTGTATCTCGCAGGCATGGTACAGGGATTAGAAAGTTTTCTAAGACAAATAATATGAGACAATAATCCGTGAACATATTTATAGATTAAAAGTGTGCAACTACTAGATATCATATATGTGAATAGATGAGATACAGTGTAGTAAAATTCGACTCATTGACACATCAAACTGTTTGACAGTCCAATTAGCGTATACATACAATCAGCTGTGATCGTTACGCAAACTAACCTGCTTTGGCTTCTCTTGAGTGCCATGTTTGATATCCTTCACTTTCCCTTCCTGTGTCTTGTAAATCGTTACCGGTTGCTTAAAAATCGACGCTGTTTGTCTGATTGGTGGCACCAACGATGCGTCATTCCTGACACCGCGGCTAAAAAAGAGCCGCATCGTTAGTACATAGAGAAGATGGCCTGTCATCGAGGTTATCACCTTCAGTATTCGAGAAACTGCGTGTCTGTCTGTGAAAATTACTTTCGATCTCAAAGATCTCTTCGAGAATCCACACGTCTCGTTCCCCCGTAAAATCGAACAAGTCTTTCTCTCGAGAATTCATTCAACCTACTTGTAATAATAATCAACCTTCCCCGTGGATGCCAATTGATTTTGACTCTTCCTCGGTTCTTCTCTCGCGGGCCAATTGATTGGCAACGCCGAGGCGTACTTCTTCTTCTCCACGGACATGTTCATCGTTGCGAGTTTCTGTCTTTATATCGCACACACAGTTATCTTTCGAAAATGTCACGGTCACAGATACTCCGTAATTGTCCCGTGGCTTCACTGTCGGCCATATTTAAGCGTCGTAACATGCGTCGACAGTACGCAGTTCAACGACTAGTTCACAGAGTGCAGCACTTTCTAGTACACAAAATGCACGTGCATAACACGATGCACGTGCATTCCGTTTCGCATTGTTTTGCGCATGAACGTGTCTAGTAAAACGAAATTTCTCTATGATCAATGAAAAGTAAGGTAAAATTTTGAATACTAATAACTTTAATAAAATTTATTAAGTAAAATTCATGGTTTTTTCAAACAATTCTTTTTAATTATTTAATTATATGAACTCGTTCTAGACATAATATACTGCATCCTCCTCAGTGTCCTTAATATCGATTTTTTACTAAAATTTTTATCAATTAATAGGTGAATTAATAAGTCTAAATATTAAAGTAAATTTGTTTTCAAGCTAATTCTATTTTAGAAATATTCTCAAATCTAAATTGTTTTCCCAAGACCATATCATCTTGTATTATTTTATTATAATCTTTTTTTTTGCATAAAATCTTTCCTAAAAAATTTAATTTAATGTTAGAAATTATTTATTTTGATATAAACAAAATTTCTATGTAAGCCTCCACGAATGTTGTTGCGTAAATTAAATATTCATAACGTGAAAATACAATCAATTGGGATGTATACTTATAAAAGAAAGTTAAAGTAAATATTTGATGAATGCATCCCATTTGTCTGCAACTTCTATATTTATCGCTATATTCTATATTTATCTATATTTATAATTTAGTCGACAACTAAAAGTAATATTCTAAATCAATGTTACAATTTCGTACGCAACAATACAAATGTAATATAACATGGTGTTATGTAACACTTCAGTGCAAAATCATAACATTAATGTCGTCATTTTTATTTTGTATCGACTAGGGAATATTTATTTTACGTATCAACATCCGTAAAAGTTCATGTAGGTATCTTACTTGTATTAGATTTATTCTTAGAACCCCCATTAATTAATATTATCTATAATACTATTACATTTTATTTCTTATTTTGTATTGTTAATGCTTTTAATAAATTAATCACTATTTTCCAGTATTAAATTTCTATAAGGGTTTTTCAGCTGACGAATATCTTTAGATTCTAATATACTTTTGCTTTGATATTTATCTTCAACATTTAAAGGTATTAAATTTGCTTAATAAAGATTGCATGAAAATGGTCAGAAGAATTCTATCTTTAACATTGAATATAACATTGAATTAACAATGAAAATCTCAGAATCGCGGGTTTCGCGATTAAAGTGTTTCCGATATCTTTATTGAACCTTCTCTGGAATAAATTTGAATAAAAAATATTAGGAGGATCGGGAGAACAGGTCGGTTAAAGCAATGACGTAAACTCTTGTATATAGATATAGAGGATTTAATTGCCGAAAGAAACAATTTTCGCGTAGCTATAGGAACAACTTGAACGGTGCTTGGAAAAAGATTTACGCTGCCTGTCTTCCGTTTATTACGAACGTATGTTCTTTCTTACGGCGGCTTTCGGTACGCTTTCGCGGAGTGCAAAATGCGAGCACGGAGACGCAATTCAACGTATTAACGGTTCTGGATGGGGCTAGGAAAGGGGAGGAAATGGGGAAGAGGCAGAGGGTACAATCATTGTCGCGGCTATGCGATCTTTTTTTTTTTATCTCGCGTAATGCTTTCTTTTTCACGGTGCGTGTGTTATTCAACTGTAAAAGAATATCGATTCTGTACAAGTCAATGAGTTAGAGATAATTAACTATTGAGTCTTCTTGAGGTATCGTTGTTTCTATTGGTCTATACGAACGGGGGCTGTGATTGTCCAAAATCCGAGAATCCGTTCAATCCAGTTCGCATGTCGCAGCTCAACCGGTGAATGTTAACCACGGTTACAGTTTGCAAAGTTCTTATCGCGGCAGTTATAATATCGTGGCGTATAATATTGAATTTTGAACGGTCACAGCAGATGTCAACGTGTATGTGTGTGTATGTATGTGCCTTCCTGTAACAAAATATAAATCTCCATTACGCATCACCCGCTTTCACCATACGGCCTCCGAATAATAATGCGCTAGCTAGTACCCTAAAAGTCCAGATGCACGCACCTCCGGCTTTGTAATCTGTACCGAAGGAGTGGTGTAAGAATTCAAGTGTTTCGCCTCATTTTACATAATATCGTCCCGTCTCTGCAGTCGTCGATGCAGACGCGCGCGTGGTCGATCACGCTCGACCGGTTTTGCTCGATGGTTAAAGCCTAGGGTCTCACGATGAATAGTCACAAAAATACTTTATCGAATATTCTGCAAAATCCGCCCACGAACGTGGTCCGCTCGCTCGTGTTTGTTTACGCGTATATGCGTGTGCGTAGTATGTATATGCCTATTATGGCAGTCAAGACTCGCAAACAATGTACATTGTATCAAGTTATCCGGTGCGCGTTCGGCGCGCAACTTGTAGAGTTTCCTATTTGTATTCGATATCGCTCGTAATAGGCGTATGAAAGCCAGTTTCATAATTACTGCAAAAGATCGAAAAGTATCTTTCGCTCCCCTCCTTTTTCTCTGTTTTATCACCGTCCTACTCCCTCGACATGTTTTATAAAATCTCAATTACAATAAAGTCTTAACGGCAGACGTAACAGTGCCATATAATTACAAAAGAATTGTATTTAAAACTGAAAGTATAATAAGTACAAATTATTCCTCTTGTCGGTGGTAGAAATGTCAAAGATCACATCGCTGGCTTCGATACCGAACGAACGCAGCATCGCGTACGTCCAACACTGTTAGCGTAATCGATACTTATCGGTTTTTCATAGCCCTACAGTTTCTCCGCTACATGACGTAAACATTCTTGTCTACATATGTGCTCAATATATATTATGTATAATTCTGCGACACAACACACATCCCTACTTTGACAAGTCTACAACACTAGATCGGCATTCCGTACGTATTCCGGTATTTCGCCGTGACGTTCGTTTCGTCATTGCATTATTGCAAGAGAACGATTTCATCCGACGAAATGTGTTTAATTTTTCACTCAGTTTCCATCACGATCACATGCAAAAGGACTTAATTATAATTATAAAGATTCTATATTACATCAGTTAACATATTACACAAGCGATTTCATTATCGCCTCCCACGTTAAATACAGGCGCAGGATACTTGCACGCGTTTCTCTCTTTCTCTCTCTTTCTCTCACATTCCATTCGCTCCATCCTACGATTACAGGTTCTATACAATTTTATACAGCTAAGTGCCATAATCTTTATATATATTTATATCCCCACAATTTATTTTATTTGCTATACCCCGAGTATAATTTAGTTTTTTGGGATTATAGAAATTTAATTCGGCTTCTGTCGAATGTAGCGACCGTAGTACATCGACTAAGTCTTGTCAATTCTTGTTAAACTTTATAATTCGCATTTCGTAGTTCCTTAAATTCACATTTATTATTAGTCACATTTGCAGTAAAAAAAATTAATTTTCTTTTTTTCAATTCCTCCGTTATAAGTCACACTTAATGTCACGTGAAACTTTAATCGATGTTGTATCGAAGTGTATCGTCAAGTCAATATGTGACTCAATACATCACTTCGTAGACGGTAGCTTTCTTGTCGCCAGATCCGGTCACGATGTACTTGTCGTCCGTAGAAATGTCGCAGCTGAGCACCGAAGACGATTCTTTCGACTAGAAAGAAAAAAAAAAAGAAATGATTATACTCGGAGAAATGTGATAATAAACGAATCGAAATGCGCAAAATTGATGTGAAAAAAACATCAGCAATTTGTATATGCGATAACGACTAACCTGGAAAATCGAGGCACCATATGGCGTGCGCCAGGCATTAAGTAAATTGTCCTTGCCGGTGGAAACGAACCACTTGCCGCATGAAGCGAAGCGTAACGATAGCACACAAGATTCGTGCAGATGCAACTGGTATTTGTCGGGTTTCGTGGCATGAAGTACTTCGACATTCGAATTCTCCATACCAACGGCTAACCATTCCCCGGTCGGGCAATATCCTAAAGAGAATATCTGTGACGTGAAATCGTGCTGCTGTAGTTGTCTACCTTCCCTAAGGTCCCAGGAGCGCACAGTGTTATCGAGACCACCTGTCCACAGTTTCGAGCCGTCGGCAGATATGTCGATGCAAGAGGCGCCATCCGTGTGACCTTGGAATTGTCTCACCAACGTTTGATTCTGCAAATCCCAGACGGCAATGTTGCCATCGCTACAACAGCTGAAGCAGACCTTCGAGTCCGGTGAGATGGCTAGAGCATAACACGCCGGCGCCGAAGAAGTCAGTTCTGCCTTGATTCTCGGTGTCGGACTAGCCAAGTCCCAGATGCTTAGATTACTCGCCTCGCCTCCCACAATAAGAGTTCTCCCATCAGGTAATAACTTCACCGATCTAATAACAACAATCGAGCGTCGCTTTACATTAATCCCGTTAAATACCGCCACTTATGCATGCTTTTAAATAATTACTATGGTCGCTCATGTTCTACGGTACGCGAGGAGGGAATTGGGAAGGGTGGTAAATGCATACGGAAAATGCATGTGATAAATCGATGCCGCGCTTCGGCGTGATATACAGCCGGCGGACACGACTAAATGTCATCCAGAATTCAGAGTCAGAAATTAATTACAGCGACCGCATGTAGCGTTCGAGAGTCAATGTGTCACGAATTGCGAATGAAGACACGTGTTACTATCACTGACCTGATATAGTTGTCCCGTTGCAGACAATCAAGCTGGGAGACGGGTTTCGCACTAGCACTACCACCCTGGCTGATGTCCCACACCTTAACGCAACCTTTGCCACCGGTGTAGACGTACTTCGTTGGATTCGAGATCGTCACAGCACAGACTACTTCACCGTGAGTTAGCGTATTTATTTGACGCGCATGTCGCGGAATACCCGGACCAATGAGCGCATCTTGTGGGAACGGTACCGGTTGCATCTGACCTTCGCTAGATACGTGGAAACTGTAGGCACTGCTACGAGAAAAACGTCATCTCATAAAAGTATACAGCGATATAACGATAAACGTAATGATATACTGATAAACTGACGCCTAGATAAGTAGACGACAGCGAATTAGAAAAGGAAAGAACACTCACGGTTTACCACCGGGAGGAATGATCGGTCCGAGTGGTGCTCTCATGCTGCCATGAGGATCATAAAGCTGTTGAAGGGGAGGTCTCGTAGGGTAACCACCGTTGAGTGCCGCTGGAGGATAGCCCAGCATGTCCACGTGAGGTCCTGTGGGTGGATGATGTGGCGGCGGATAGTGCGGCGGATAAGGGCCGACCACCGAAGCCGAAACTAACGGTTTACTGGAACTCGATGGTTTTAGGCCACCGGAGCCAGAACTGCTACCTACGATATTATCAGTTAAACATAGAGGTGTCCTTTCGTCTTGAGGTGTACTGAAATCTTGTAAAAAAGTCTCTAAGAATGCCTGAATTTTCTTGATATTTTTGTTCGCTGTAAAATTTAAAAATTAAAAAAAAATGTTTAATACAACTTTGAAATTAATTGAAGTGGAAACAACACAAACAAATTATATATCGAAAATTAGTAAAAGATAGGGATTCCGAGAATACGAGATTATATCTATTATTGTCTACAATTAAAGTCGCGAAACATGTAGGACAATATAGAGAAGAGTTACTACAACATAGTAAAAAAACCAGTGAGCTATTGTATTCTGCTGAGTATTATCTTCCATTGTCACCTTGACTTTTTTTTTAATAAAACTCGCGAGCACACAAGATTATACGTAAATGTACACGAACGTACGTAAATATCTGCTATATTTAATGGTAACCGATTGTCAGCAGTTTGTAACATCGAGAAAAAAAAATTAAAAGAAACAATGTTTTCAGAAAGTGACAGAGATTTTTAAAAATAAAATTCCAAAAATTTTTGAGTACCGATAAAATTCCAGGAAAATCCCTGATTTCAAAGATAGACAAAAAATTCCAAAAAATTCTAGGTAGTAAATACCTTATTATAGTAAGAATCTAGCCAATGTTGTCATTTTCTATAAACTTATTGATCTTGATAAAATATGATGGATCAATAATATGTATCAAATTTAGATACACACGCAGATATATGTCATGTTTTGTCGAGCTTCAGTGATATAGGACTGGTATTCATAGTCCATTTTTATTTTAAGATTGCCTTCGATAAGTATTAAGTATTCAATGTATTAAGATGCTAATACTCTATGATTGCTTTATGACATCTTAAAACTGTACTTAAAATCTTATATATAATCTTAATATGATCTTACATATTTTTACAGAAATCTGATATTGGCCAATTTAATACTGAAAGACAGTAATTATTTGAAGTATTAAAAATACTGAACAACAGTGCTTTTAATACTAAAATAACTAATTAATTACTATCTTTCAGTATTAAATTGGCAAATATTAAATTGGTCAGTATTATATTTCTATAAGAATAAGAACCAATTATAAATATCAGTTTAAGTTTAATAGGTTTGCTTTCCCAAAATTTTTTGCGCTTAAAACTAGATAAATATATATTCAGGCGTTGAAAAGAGAGAAAGCAAAGGTTCCAAGTGTAAAAAGTGCAAGCAACGCAAATAGATCTATTGACCAGATTCTTCATACAAGAAGGATTCCAATTAAACTCGCTTATTTCCTGAACGTTGTTTCTTACTTTGACGTATCTTGAATAACACCGTACCTGCCGACGTCGGTGTGACCGGTTTCGAGATTGGTGTCGTTGGTTTCTCACGTTCTTCCATCTTTTTGGCCGAAGGCGTGCTCGCATTGCTGCTAGTACCACTTCTAGGTGATGGCGGTGGTACTTCTTTCTTGACCTGGCCGCTCATAGTCACCGATGGGCCCAACTTGTCGAGACCGTTTTCTCGCGGTGACGCCGTGCCATTCGCCGCCGGGCTGGTCGGACCCTCGCTCGCGTCGTCGACCACCAGGTCTTGGTCGCTCTTTTCACCATCGCTTTGCTGTCGGGGAGAACACGCACGGCTTTATTAAGGCGGATCGTGACTCGAGAAGCATGGAGCACTAATCTTGGATACTTACATGGCCTATGTCTTTGTCCTGTTCCTTCTTCAGTTTCTTACCCAGCAGATGTTCGTGCTGCGGATCGGGTGTGCTACGCGGTCTATACTTCTCCCGTTCCGCTGGAGATATCGAGTTCCTCTGTAACAAAGATAATCGACATTCAACTACAAAATATTTAACGAAGCCGTTCGAACGAGGATGTTACGATTTTTATAGAATCCCTTATCAACGCGAAAGATACGATCCGCTCTCTAGTGCGGTTAATCCGATTACGGAGATTTACAGGATTTATTCGTTCGAGATTTTTACGGACCGCGCCGGATTTTACCTCCTCCCGATAGATTTTCACGGAAAAGTATCGGAGACGAAGGACTTCTTGCGACCGTAGGGATGGTCGACGGAGGGTAGAACGACTAAATTCCTTCCTTCCTCTTTCGCGATTAAATAAAACGACCTGCCCGTCGGACGGGTGGAAGAGGCATCGATGGAATTACTTATCCCTCTTCACCCGTACGACCTCCATTTCGCTTCGAGGCGAACGAAGAATAATAGGACGGATCGTAGAATCCTGCTTTTTTTCTATCGTATTATGCACGAGTGCTGAGAAAAATATCGGCACGCAATTCCGAATGCAAAAGTACTCGAATATCTTAGACATTTTATCGACCTCTTTTTATTTCATCGCACCTCTTCAATAAATGCTTACATGAACTGAGACAAACTCTTTTCCCGAGAATCTAATCAGCGAAAAGAAGATTTCACTTTTTCAATATAAGAAACGTAAACGAGAGATAAGAATTGTATATAGTCATTGATAAACAACACAAAGATTATCGCTATTCCGACCTTGTCTTCTTCATGTTTTGACACGAGTGGATAAAATCAAGAGGAAGATCATCAACGCTGACAATCTTCATAAAACATGAAAAGGTGTCCTCTCCACCCCTGGAAAATGCAAGCTCGCTGAAGTCACACTCAGAAACATCGAGTCGAGGGTATCATCGACCGGAAGCTTTACGAGCGGTAGTTTCGTCGTCGATACGTCGGACAGAGCATTGCAACATCGTCCACATGCCTTGATATATATATATATATACACGCGCACACACACACACACACACACACACACATATATATAAGCGTGGAAGCCCTTTCCCTGTCCCTGATAACTGCGCTCCCCATCTTTGCAAACCCGTAAACCACCCCTGTCGCATCCCCTCGCAGCCACCGCTGCTAGTGTCGAAGTAAATCTCCTCTTCTCTCAATTACCCTTCGTCCCTCATCCACCACTACCAACGGTACCGGTTCTCTCGCTCTCTCGGTCCATTACTTCGACGCCTCGGTATCATCTCCCGCCTGTCGACCGGAACACTCAGGGTGAAAAGAAATAAAAAGAAAAATGGAATCTTCAAATATATACGAATACGCGAGTATCTCTGGGCGATTAACGTGCGAAATTACATGCTGCACGGAGGATAAGCGGTGTCGCGCTTAGTGTCTTGTCAGATACTGTCAAGAAATCGCTGAAGAGAGGAAGAGAGTCGGCGAGAACGTGTATGAAACCCTGCGACGTGGAAAAATCGAGCGGGAGCATGTTCTCTCGTTCACAACGACGATATAGCGACGGGAAGAAAAGCGAAGACAAAAGAGCCGGGAGAGGGTGAGCAGACGGGAAGTCTCGCAAACACGCGCTCTGCTCACGTCATGAAAGATTCCCAGTAAGAAAAGGATCCCCTGGGAGCCGTATTACGTGCCGCTCTTTCAAGTTTTCTTCGCGAAAGAATCCCGGTAGAGAGAAAGAGGGATCTTTTTCCTCCGAAAAGACGTCCTCTCGTTATCCGGAAACGGTCGGTCACTGCTTATCCGACCAGAGTCCACTGAAGCGGATGAGATGACTGTCGTGTCGTTGAAAAAGAAAAATCTGGCGAGAAAACAACGCTTGACATGCATTCGCGAGAATATAAGCCATAATGACTTAAAAATTTTATGATTTAGACAAACGTTATCACTGGTAAAAGCAACATTTGCGGAGCAACATTCTCGACAAGATTTTGATCGTTGCATCGCTTCACACGTCTTAAATTATCCACGAATACACTTAATTATACACGAATAACTTTTTATTTGAACAAAAAATGATTTATGGTATTACAAAATAAAATATTTATATGGTATTATGAAATATATAATAATAATGTTATGGCGTATAATTTACAAACAGGGAGTTAAAATTACAAAAATCATAAAAAAGGATATAACAAGAGAATTTATAGATATAATCAAGAACTTGTAAATAGATGTAATACACATTGTTATAAATAAGGATAAATTACAATAAAATCATGAGAAGTGAAACAAGATATATTGAGAAACAGTGGAATTTGCCATTACAAAATGATTACAAAATATATTTAATAATTATTGATGTAGAAATAATATTATTAAGATAGAAAAAATATATTCCTGAAAGATGGAGTATAAGAACTACGGTAAAACGATTTCTTTCGAGAAAATCGCGACTGGATTTAGTTCCCTGGAAAATCATGCGGAAACACACACCATCTCGTGTCCGCAGTCGATACCGCTAGTAAGTATGTACCCGGAAGTCTCGTCTTTCGGGGATAAGCGCATCCTTTCTCCCCCACCCTGTCACGAGACGCCGATAGCTCGCAATGTCGTTTCGCGAAAGCTTTCCATTTCTGTTCTCTCTTACTTCCTCCTCGTTGCCTGTTCGTGTTACGTTGGTATATGTACAGAGCATACGTATACATAATACATGTATACATACGCGTATGTATATACATACCTTCGCGAAGAAACGATATACACGCGGCCCGCCTTCCATTCACGTAAGTTTACTTACACCTATCCCGTCGGCTATCCATACCACCCTCTCCCACAAAGAGGATTCGTGCCACGATCAATATGGGGGTTGGTACCTCAGGGGAAGACGAAGAGATAGGAGGAGGAGGAGGAATGTAGGAGGAGCTGCGGGTATACCGTAGATATATAGACTTTGTAGTGTTAGGGACGACTTGGTCCGCAAGCAAGCAGGCAGGCAGGCAAGCAACTTGGCAAGCAGCAGCAGGCACCGAAGTACAGTCAGGGGTGGCTCTTTCAAGGGTGAGAGGACGAGAGAGAGAGAGAGAGAGAGAGAGAGAACGGGAGGAGAGAGACGGACGGGGAGACGGCTTTGGCCGTGTGCATGGTATTGGAGTTGGCGGTCGCAGCCATGAGGGTGGTAAGTGAGTGAGCGACTCCTTCGCCACGGCGCCTCGTCTCGACTCAACCACCCTAACCTTACGGATATATCCCAAGCCACCGACCGACCACCCACCCGTTCTCTCTCCAGCTCCTTCTCTCCTCTTCCCTTTTCTACGTCGTCTCTCACCCCTTACTGCCACTCGTGCGCTCTCACCCTACGTCGGCCAACCATCCACCCCCGTTACTCCATCCGTCTGCCTGCTTGCCTGCCTGTGGTGCCTGTTTCCCTATTCCTCACTCCACCAACGTCGTCGTCGTCGTCGTCGTCGTCGTCGTCGTCATCGTCGTCGTCGTCGTCGTGGCTAGGACCCTGAGAGAGAAGGTTACGAGCCGAAGTCGCATCTCCCAAGACCCCGCAAACCCCAGCTGGTACAAGATTGCACCCAGTGGCTCTCAGTGTCGTCGTCATCGCCACCGCGCCGGTCTCGAAGGAACGCGCCGGAACGAGAGACGTTCGGGAAATTGGGATTCCGTGTGGATCCGTACGATTCGATACCGTCGACTGCGGGGGATGCTCGTGGTTGACGGACATTGCGGGGCTTTGTGCCGCGACGCAGAGACGTTCGACTAATGCGTCTCGTGTCGGCAAAACTCCAACCGTCGAAGCACGGTAGAAATGTAAAGACAATGCTCTCTGTATTTCAACTTTGAGACTGACGTCGTACGAACGACCGTACAAGCTGTTTCCAACTAGACTTATCAGTTTCACGGTATTTACCTTTCCACTCGAAACATCCATTGTGACGACACCACATAGATCTCGAACGAGGGTGATTCTCCAGTACGATCGAGTCTTCAAACTCGATTTCCGAATAGATAAACATCCGCGGCATTTAAACTAACTTGACACTTGTTCCACGATTTCGAACTCGTTTGAGACTAATGGCTCCTGAATATTCGATGCTCGATCGTGATTTTCGTTTCTGCACGCCCCGGACGATTAATTTAATTAGCCGAAATCGCTCCCGCGACCGGCTACCGAGAGATTCATGGTAGGATCGCGAGCGTAATTTTGGGCGGATATCCGTTGGCTCGCTGGGTATACGGCGCGTCGCAGCTTACTCGCGAATGCATGGAATTTTTTATGGTCGCGCCGGACGGCGGGACGGCATGGCAGCGGTAATCGGTTCGCGAAATCCGGCGCGTACGTGTCACTGGGTCAACCGGTGCATTCGTCATACCGGCAATTAGTGTGCGCGCGCGAATTTTTATCACCGACGCGGCAACACAGATACGGGCCACGTGTTTTAGTCCGGCCGATCTTTTTTTACGTGACTTTATCGAAATCGATACCTGCATCCCTCGACGAAAACAAAATCGTCGATATTGCGCTCCCACGTACACACGAATATACGGGATTTTGTTTAAATTATACTTGCGCAAATTTTAATCATAAAAATGCCCATAGCGCGACGTACTTCCTTTTATTTATTCATACAAACGCACCGCGCATCGGTTTACCACACTTCTACCGCGGATTGTCCTCGTCGAATTTTTCGGAGGAGCGTGCTATCTCGCAATCGCGGACTTGCTCAAATTGGACGACGTATAAATAAAGCTCACACGCAGCGCCGCGAATCAGACAGACATTCACAACGCTATGATTTATGACGCAACCGTAAATAGCAAAATTCCCTTTCTCTCAGCGCGTTACTCGCCGTGTTCTCTCGCGCTGCGCTTTTTTCCCCCCTCTCCCTTTTTCCTCTCCTCCACCCTTTCGTTCTTCTTCTCCTCTCGGTCTCGCTCTCTTTTTTCCCCGGCCGTGTCCGCCGCCCTCAGAGCGGGCAGAGAGACCCAGTGGTGGAATTTGCATTTTTAAATTAACTCGCGTCTGTTTGCAGATATCTCGGCTCGGCGGCGCCGCACTGCTGGCT